TTGGTAACGACTTCATTACTGCTAGCCTAAGAGGGACAAAGCGGCTTATTAGGCTAAATTGGCAAAACAGCGGACCTAAGTGGTAGTTAAGAATTCGAGCCCGTAGAATATGGGTCTCAATAACTTATCCTTTCAAAAAGGATTTAGCTTAAGTCATAAGTTATCAGCATCGGAGTAGACGTCCATGATTGTGAGTGAGTTTTGAGCAAATTACAGTCACCCTTCAAATCTTAAACCGCCCATGCGGACGCCGCTACTCTTTTTCGTTCGCAGTTTTCCAAATTCAACGAAAAGAGATCGATGCCTAGATCCGAGGAAAGCAAAGTGTAGTTTGCTAAGATTCAGAATCTAGGACTTCTCCTTGACACGATCCTCCTTCAATACTTTTGGCCCTGCATTACACAAAGAAATTTTTACACCACTTTTACTATAATTTATTTGTAAGAGTAAATTATTGTAGGATGGTTGTCGAAATATATCCATCACTGGCTTTTTGGTTGAAGTTGCGCCAAATTCCTGTAGATGTGGAATGTTAATATAAATTAAAAACTTAATCTGCCAATTTGATATATCACCCGCATAATTTGAAAAGATTTTGTTAACCTATTGACGGCGTGTGTGACTCATAGGCCCAACGCTTTTTTGTTGCTTTTTCGTAAAACATTACTGCTTTTACTGATTTTGTTTGAAGGAAAATCACCTATTAAATGCATATCCAAAAAAATTTCATAACAGAGCAACATTGGCAAAAGAAAAGTGTGACCTATCAGGGAATTACACGATCTCAGCCCATTTGTGGGTTGGCGTCGATGGGTTACTATACTACCAAGCAAACAAGAATAATAATAGAATTGGTGATATAAGAACAAGACGCTTTCAACTTGCATCAGCAGGTAAGCGCTGCCATACACTCGCGCATCACAGACACATCTGATGATTCCTTATTTATGCAGGAAGGGTACTTTCGGAGTGTGTCTAAATCATACCACTCGACACCACTCTTACCACTGGGTGTCCAAGACAATAATATATAGAAGAAAAATCTATTAATTCTTACACAACGTACATTTTTCTGCCAGGAGTTTGACCTGATTACTATACCATTTAGCTTTTGGAAAAAAAATTCTTTGGAACCTGATTTCACATCATTTTTTGTTGATGAGCCCTCGTCTGCGTGAGAAGCGTGACTTCGAGGATAGTCCATAGCAAAACATCTGGGCTATAGGGGATGCGACCAACAGCAAATCCTGCTAAAGGAGCGCAGGACGTGCGGGAGGCCCCAAAGGCTCGCCGCCTATCCCTGGAGGTGCCAATTAGAGGCGCGAGCCTTGCGTAGCCATCTCTTATGGATGTGGCATCTTCCAACACTGGGTGCGGCTGCCCATTGCTCCGCCCATTCTCTTATGTTAGCCCGAATAGGCCTACCGACAGTCGCGGAGAAGGAGGAATAAATCAATTATTGAGGTTTAAGCAATTATTGGGAAAGGGGATAAAAATATTTTACACATTTTCGTAAAACGAAACTTCACCTCTAATCATTAAAGGGCTATAGAGTTCATTTCTCACAATTTTGTTTACCAATTTGACTCTAATACTTACGTAATAACAAGTTTTCATGAATGCTGTGGTAATATTGATATAACCATCTCTATAAACCTAAACTGAGCAAGTAAGTACCATTTCATTACTCACATAACAAGATGCCTAGTCAACGAGCTGAAGTAAGATGAAAGAAGAATGAATGGGACAGAGAAATGTGAAAGGCTGACAAATGCGCTGTATGTGAATTCAAACATAATTTGTAGTACATGAAAAAGCGGTAGTAGTAGGTGAAAAAGCTAATTTTAAATTTGAATTTCGAATTTTAAGGAATGTTTCTGGATCAGATGTTAGTTTTGAGCCTCCATTAGTTTAGATAGATTTATCTCGTTCAACACTGTTCTGCTTGAGTTATCCGCGATCGATAGGCCATTAGTTGACCTTTGCAGGTGCGATCCATGCGCGACTCGAGAAAGAACCTAGAAAATTGGAAGGATATGATTTCGATAACAGCACTTGTGTTGTACATAATAGCTGCATAAATATTGTAGAGGGAGGGGGGAGGTGGAGTGAAGTGGAAAAAATGCGAATGGAAACATAGTAATAACACCAATGTAAATATCACATAACTGACAAATTATATTTATTCGTTTTAATATATTCTGAGCAGGGGGAAATATAAGTGTATGTAAAAGTCATATATGGACTAAGTTAGTATGCAATATACTTCAGCATGCAAGATACTATGCTATCACATGCAGGTAACTAAACTTGGTAATTATATACTAACTTACCCTAAATATAAATTGATTAACTTTAGCAAGCAATATACTCTATAATACTTAAAAAACTCATCTCGCATGCGTAAGATCTAATCTACATTGCTTAAATGGCCTTATCTGAAGTGTACCGCGACATTTTGCGGCAGTACTTCCCTACGGCAG